TCCTGAACGGTGATGAGCGCGTCGGAGCTGTTGTGCTGAACGTGGGAGCGAACGACATCAGGGTGAGGTTCTGAAGAAGGACTACAGGAGCCTGATCGAGACGGTACGCAACACATTGCCTGAAGCTACGATCGTGTCTGGACCACTTCCCACTTACAGACATGACTAATAAGTCAAAGTCCAAATCAGTTTTTGTTGTCCAAACTTAATTGATATGCTTAGTGTGGAACATTATATTGAAACTGTGTCTGTTCCTCGTTTAGTGACGCCTGTGGAGAGACGACTTGACGCCTGTGAGCTGCTGGATCGGCGGTCAGTGCTTGAAACATCACACACCGATGCTCACAAGTCAGTGGTTGGTTACTCTTTGACTCTGACTTTGTCTACTTCATGCGTTTCTCTGCCCAGGAGGACGTGATCATCTCTGGCTTCATTCACTCCGGCACAGACACAACACCATGGATCACACAGCGGAAGACACGAGCCAGGACCAGAGCTAGAACCTCTCTGCCGCCCCTCCCGGTCTTCGAGATCTCGACCCGGAACCACTTCTCCCCTCTTTGTGAGTCGGAACGCGACGACGCCGTGGTCATCGGCACGCCAATGGTCCGTCATGTCCGTGCTACCTCAGGTAAGGATAAGGAGCGCACTCACTGCTTTCCTGGTGCTCATGTTCTTGATGTCGCTGCACAGGTTCCCGAGATCCTGAACGGTGATGAGCGCGTCGGAGCTGTTGTGCTGAACGTGGGAGCGAACGACATCAGGCTGAGGTTCTGAAGAAGTTCTACAGGAGCCTGATCGAGACGGTATGCAACACATCGCCTGAAGCAACGATCATTGTGTCTGGACCGCTTTCCATGTACAGACAAGGACAGGAAAGGTTCAGTAGATTATTTGCATACACCTAATAAATAGTAAGTCATAGTCCAAATCACAGTCTTTGTTGTCCAAACTTAATTGATATGCTTAGTGTGGAACATTGTATTGAAACTGTGTCTGTTCCTCGTTTAGCGACGCCTGTGGAGAGACAACTCGACGCCTGTGGAGAGACGACTGCCTGTGAGCTGCTGGATTGGCGGTCAGCGCTTGAAATATCACACACCGATGCTCACAAGTCAGTGGTTAGTTACTCTCTGACTTCATCTACTCCATGCGTTTCTCTGCCCAGGAGGACGCGATCATCTCTGGCTTCATTCACTCCAACACCGACACAATACCATGGATCACACAGCGGAAGACACGAGCCAGGACCAGAGCTAGAAGCTCTCTGCCGTCCCTCCCGGTCTTCGAGATCTCGACCCGGAACCGCTTCTCCCCTCTTCGCGAGTCGGAACGCGACGACGCCGTGGTCATCGGCACGCCAATGGGCAGTCATGTCCGTGCTACCTCAGGTAAGGATGAGGAGCGCACTCACTGCTTTCCTGGTGCTCATGTTCTTGATGTTGCTGCACAGGTTCCCGAGATCCTGAACGGTGATGACCGCGTTAGAGCTGTTGTGCTGAACGTGGGAGCGAACGACATCAGGCTGAGGTTCTGAAGGACTACAGGAGCCTGATCGAGATGGTACGCAACAAATCGCCTGAAGCAACGAGCCTTGCACATCTAACCCTTTCTGTGTCTCCTTTAAATCTTTTCTAGATTTTTTTTTTCTGACTAAGTTTCACTAGTCGTCTTCTAATTGATTTATCTTTAAAAAAGAAAATATATTTCTAATCCTTAAGCATATTCACGCACATGCTATTTAGTAGGCGCTTAACTGTTCAATTACTGGCCAGAATTGAACAGTTAAAGCCCCACGTTGGGCACCATGTTTTACGGTGTGCGCTTTAAACTTAGCACCTTTTAACCTTATTTATTATCCTGAGGTTAGGTCGAGTAAGTCAAATCTGCCCTTAATCATAAGCATTCGAATGGTATTTACAATTGTTCAGATGACTTCTCTGTGGTCAGTTCTTGCTTAATGTTTATTAACAACACTGCTAGACGATTACTTGTAATTAGCATTAGTTATTTATTAATGTAAATATTCCAAAAATAAAAATTAGGCTCAAACTTAAATTCTTCATGTTCCAAAACTCTGGAATCTACTCCTGTGTAAGGGAAATCATTATAAACATCAACTATGCTAATTATTTCCCATCTGTTTTCTGCTGTTATCTCGGGGCGCTTGTCCTGAGAAAAATGGCGTTCGTCAACTTCAGTTTGTCGGAGCTGCTGTACTGCACGTGGGGGTGAACGACATCAGGCTGAGGTTCTGAAGAAGTTCTACAGGAGCTTGATCGACACATGGTATGCAACACATCGCCTGAAGCAACGATCATTGTTTCTGGGCCGCTTCCCACGTACAGACAAGGACAGGAAAGGTTCAGTAGATTATTTGCACACGCCTAATAAATAGTAAGTCAAAGTCCAAATCACAGTCTTTGTTCAAACTTAATTGATATGCTTAGTGTGGAACATTATATTGAAACTGTGTCTATTCCTCATTTAGTGACGCCTGTGGAGAGACGATTCTGCCTGGGTTAGGGTTAGGACCAGAGCTAGAACCTCTCTGCCGCCCCTCCCGGTCTTCGAGATCTCGACCTGGAACCGCTTCTCCCCTCTTCGCGAGTCGGAACGCGACGACGCTGTGATCATCGGCACATCCATGATCCGTCAATACCGTGCTACCTCAGGTAAGGATAAGGTGCGCACTCCCTGCTTTCCTGGTGCTCATGTTCTTGATGTTGCTGCACAGGTTCCTGAGATCCTGAACGGTGATGAGCGCGTTGGAGCCGTTGTGCTGAATGTGGGAGCGAACGACATCAGGCTGAGGTTCTGAAGGACTACAGGAGCCTGATCGAGACGGTACGCAACACATCGCCTGACACAACGATCATTGTATCTGAACCGCTTCCCTCTTACAGACAAGGACAGGAAAGGTTCAGTAGATCATTTGCAATAATTGAATTAATGTCATTGTGTAATGAACAGAAATTGCTCTTTGTAAATAATTGGAATCTGTTCTGGGAGAGACCTAGGCTCTATTATGCTTCACCTCAACAGAATCGGAGCGGCTGTTCTGTCGGACAACATCTCCAAGACGTTACACACCTAATGACTAGTAAGTCAAAGTCGCTCCTTTGAAAGAAATGTTTCTCCTGGTTTCATCTCTTGGACTGATGTCTCTGCCTGTAAGGCTATCTTTTGCCATCCTAATATACGAGAATCACCCCATGTATATGGTTGTATAAAAGTCATGTTGGATTTTTCCTGGGCTTTTGCAGCCATAGCTTAGCCTCTTTGGAATAGACTTATTAGACTTTCAATCACCCTTCAACTTATTTCTTATGTGCACATCTAACCCGTTTTGGGTGTTAAATAATCTTTTCTAGATTAGTATATTTTTTTAGACTAAGTTTGTCTAGTCGTCTTCTATTTGGTGATGTATCTTTTTCTTTCCAAAAAAAGAAAATAAATTTTTAATCCTTATGCATATCCACGCACATGCTATTTAGAAGGCACTTAACTGTTCAATTACTGGCCAGAATTGAACAGTTAAAGCCCCACATTGGGCGCCATGTTTTACGGTGTGTGTGCGCTTTAATTTTAACACCTTTAACATTATTATTTTTTATCCTCGGGTTCGGTCGACTAAGTCAAATCTGCCCTAAATCATAAGCATTTGAATTGTACTTACAATTTTTTCAGATGACTTCTCTGTGGTCAGTTCTTGCTTAAGGATTATTAACGACTCTGCTTGACAATTGCTTGTAATTAACATTAGTTATTTATTAATGTAAATATTCCAGAAATAAAAGTTAGGCTCAAACTTAAATTCTTTACGCTCAAACTCTGGAATATTCTTCCCGATATGGTTTGACGCTCTGACTCGCTGTCAAAGTTTAAAACTAGACTAAAGACGCATCTCTTTAGCCAAGCATTCACATACTGCTTACCTTTTATTCCTCTGAATCAGATCGAATGCATTTAATACTATAAAACTTGAAGAGTCTGTAGGTTACTTGTATAGGTTGCATAGCATTTACAGTCATTACTTTCCTGTGTGTATTGCGTGAATGATGGGTGGTTGGGCAGATATTGTGTTATTGCGGTAGGTGGTATGCCATACGGATCCATTGCCACTGAAACGCATTACCTTAGTCAAACGGGTTGGTGTGTATGGTTGGTTTGCGGAGAGTTTGAGTTGTTGAGTTTGTGAGTGGTTTTTAACATCATCTCCTGTGTAATGGAAATCATTGTGAACATCAGCTATGCTAATTATTTCCCATCTGTTTTCTGCTGTTATCTCGGGACGCTTGTCCCGAGAAAATGGTGTTCGTCAGCTCCAGTTTGTATCCAGCCTCTCATGGAGACTTCAGATGCCCCAACACCTGCGATGAGAAATGCCTGTGAAGAGATGACTCGATGCCTGTAGAGAGACAACTCGACGCTGGCGATATGTTATGCCCTTAATATTACATGATTAACGGAATGTATTTTTTCATGTACCTTTCTGTAATGCACTTTCTGTAAAGCTGCTTTGAAACAAGTATTGTGAAAAGCGCTATTCAAATAAACTTTAATTGAATTGAATTCACTTGCACGGCCAACAGACGCAGAGCTTACAGTGGGGGAGCTTCACTGCAAAGCAGACAGGTGAGCATACAGGTACGTAATCCTCTTCTTTAAGTGACAGACAGAGAACTTGCGGCTGGAGGTTTCACTGCAAAGCAGTCGGGCTGCCAGATAAATACTCTCAACGGTCTGGAGTACAACAGTGTTAGCCTCTTCTTATGCAGTCAGAATGTGATGAACTCGAGTAAGAAATGGACATCCAGCAGTTTTAGGTTCACACTTCACACAGCAAACAGTGCATCACATCACTTCATCTGAACAATTCAGCACTCAGTGGGAAATGCACATGTATATGGCTGTCGCCCATCTTTTGAACTGGCATTCACATCAAGAGGTCCCACAGACACAAGAGAAGAGGATAGAAATTGATTTGGACTACTCACGATCTCTCACAAATGATCTTCTGTTCTGTGGTTACCTCCTTCTTATTGAATCAGCCTGCTCTTTCTCCCAACTCACAGCACTACGACCGTTCGTCGGCCCCACTTCCTCTTCACCACGGCTCACACTTTCTCAGAGAGCACCACTGCTAAAACAACGCCCCGTTTGGTCTGTACTTCCTCCTTTTATACTGGGTCTTGACTTGTGTGGGTATTGACTTGTTTGACTTGTGTGGGTCTTGACTTTTGTTTGACTTGTTGATCTTGACTTGTGGATCTTGACTTGTTTGACTTGTGGGTCTTGACTTGTGTTTGACTTGTGGGTCTTGACTTGTGTGGATCTTGACTTGTGGATCTTGACTAGTGGATCTTGACTTGTTTGACTAGTGGGTCTTGACTTGTGTTGATTTTGACTTGTGGGTCGTGACTTGTGTTGATCTTGACTTGTGTGTCTTGACTTGTGTGTCTTGACTTGTTTGACTTGTGTGGGTCTTGACTTGTGGGTCTTGACTTGTGTGGTTCTTGACTTGTGCTTGACTTGTGTGAGTCTTGACTTGTGGATCTTGACTTGTGTTTGACTTGTGTTGATCTTGACTTGTGTTTGACTTGTGGGTCTTGACTTGTGAGTCTTGACTTGTGGATCTTGACTTGTTTGACTTGTGTGAGTCTTGACTTGTGTGAGTCTTGACTTGTGGATCTTGACCTGTTTGACTTGTGTGGGTCTTGACTTGTGTTTGACTTGTGAGTCTTGACTTGTATGGGTCTTAACTTGTGTGGGTCTTGACCTTGTGTGGGTCTTGACTTTTGTTTGACTTGTGTGGGTCTTGACTTGTGTGGGTCTTGACTTTTGTTTGACTTGTGCGGGACTTGACTTGTGTGGGTCTTGACGCACAGGAGCACTTTTTGAAAAAGAGAATTTAGTAATGTCATGAAATTGATTTGACATTTGCTTTTGTATTTATGGCTAGGCCACTTGTACCATTTTTAAGCCCCTTTCCCCCTTCTTAATACTCATTTTGTGTTAGGACCATTTTTTTTGTCTGGTCTATTTGCACTTATGATATTGTGCTTGTTTGCTATTCTTTGCATTCATTTAATCTTTTAATACTTCCATACCTCTGTTACCTTTCCCTTTAAACTACATGTAAATATGCCTTTGTCCTATTTGTTTTAGTCAATTGTAGTTGTATAGTGCTTCTCAGAATAGTTTAAAAGTGTCTTTATGCCACTTAATTTTAGCCTTTGTGTTCCTTTTCATCATTTATATTGATTTGTCCTAGTATCCTATTCGAATCCCTCATTTAAGTTTAATTGTTAAATGATGGCCTTTGTTCATTATTTCTTATGTGTTTTTTTAGATATTGTCTTTACAAAAGTGCCAATAAAATTTTTTAAAACGTCCCTATTTTTTGTGCCCCTTGCTTCATGCTCCTTTTTTCCCTTTTGTATAATTGTTAATGTTTTGTATTTATGCTGTTGATTGCCTGTTGTATTCCCTTACATTTGTCAATGTAATATATTCAATCATTTTCTTATATACATAAATGTTTGAAACAAACAAAAAAGATGCATTTTTATGGTCTGAAATTAAATATCTCCAACTTAAATGTTACTGTTCAGAGAGAGAGAGTGTACGTACAAGAATGCCATGTTCCTTCTCAGTAAGCACACACAGTCACTGCAAATCTTCACTACATTAATGCCTTTTATTATTTATACTTATAAAACTGTATAAGTAATTTGCTTTGTACAACACCATAGTCCTGAAACTGCTGATGTTGTATTTATGCCTTTACCTCATGTATTTAAGTTTTTTTTTTGTCACAATGGCCCTTTTTGTATTTGTGCATTTTCCCATCTTTTGTATTTATTTCATTCCTTTCTCTTGTCTTTGCCTTTTTTTTCCTAAGCCTATTTTTTGTTTATGATTTAATGTCTTCCATCTTTTATTAATGCTCCTTGTCTTAGTCAATGGGACAGGGACATAGAACGCTTTTAGAAAAATGGGAATGGGCATAAAAAGGCTTTACTCTGTTCTATTTTGTATTGAAAGGGACTGCGTCAAATGGTTTGTCTGTACTTTTTACATAATTATGCACTTGTTTTTATTCTCTTACTGTCTTTTGTATTGTTAGGAGTTCGTTTTGACACCCAACTACTAAGGTGCCTGGACCCGGGATAGCCTGGTTGACACGCTCGGTGTTATAATGCTATGTTCACTTGATTGCCCTGTGCTAAACAAACTCTCGTAGATAATATGGTTGTTGAAATCCATAGTGGTCCATTTTATTTTTGGTATTTCCATCTGCATTACAAAGTGCCACGCAAGTGGTCAAAAACCCTTTGCCCTTCCGGGTCAAACACCTACCAACAATGTTATATCTTCTACCTTTATACCTGTGGTGAACTTACAGACATGCGCCACCCAGTGTCAGACACAGAAATTAAAATCTAGAATTACATAACAAACAAGTAACATTTGGCTCTTACATGTATGTTAGCATTAGTGGCTGTCTTATCATTCCCATTTTCTGCTTTGATTCATCTCTGTTGCTGTGGTCACTTGTATTTTATGCTGCGATTTCATTCAGCCTGTTTGAATTTTGTTCTTCCCCTGATGGTATGGCTATCGGGTTCATGGGGTACTTAGTTCTCCACATAAAAAGAAAATTCATTTTCATTAACTTCTGTTAAAGTGTTTAACCGTTGGAATTGGGTGGGTGGGACTTGTAAAGATAAGGGACTTGTCAAAGGACTTGTGGATCTTGACTTGTGTTAGACTGAGGTGAAAGGTTGAAATCAACCCTATCAACTGCAGGTGCAAATCAAAGTTACTTGAGCTAAAATATATAGGGGTGTATCCCACTCACAAAGACAATTTCTATTTTCAGTTTTTTTGTTTTTATTTATATTGTACTAAATGTAATTTTTGTATTTATGGTTTCGCCTCTTGTTCCATTTAAGATGAATTGTCCTTTTATTATCCCTTTCTATTTTATGACCCTTTTGTCTGTCTTTGTCTTAAACATAAAAAAACAATAAAAATAATAACCTAAATATACCATAAATGCATTTTTTAAATTGTATATCTTTCACTGGTTTTTAACATTTTATGTCTGCTTTTTATGCTATTGTTTGCCTTTCTTATATTGTAAAGCTTTGTATTGAAGTTGTAAACTTACTTTTTTGTATTTTGTTGCACTTGACTTTGTTTGTTTCATTTTAATTTCTTTTTTTTTTACTTAGGTTAACAAAAGGCTTTTTAAAAAACAGAACATGGAAACAAATATGGACCATAACCCGTGTTTCTAGTCTTTTATGATTTTACTTGTGCCCATATTGTGTAATTTGGAACACCCCATTTGTGAATCCTAACCTTTTTTTTGCATTTTCTAAATTACTTTAAGTTTTTGTGAGGTTTATAATCTGTTTTGGTTTATTTTGTGTTCCCATAAAACAGCTGGAGGGACCGGCCAACACAGGATAGACAATCCAGTCTGATGTCCTTCACACTCAGCCTCTCATTGATGCTGCTACCCCCCCCCTCCTCTAGTGTCATCTAGTTAATGTGGCCTGTGTTTGTTGGCTACTTTCAGCCCTTTGGTTCATCCTTCATTTTACCCTTATGCCTTAATGCTCCTTAAATTTTGTCTCTGCACTTATGTCCGTATCATGGTCTCAATGGCACTTTTTGTATTTGTGCATTTTTTTTCCCATCTTTTGCATTTTGATCTCTTTGCATTTGAACTTGATCTCTTTGCATTTGAACTATCACTGCTATTGTCTTTGCATTTTCCCTAAGCCTATTTTAGTTTTATTGGCTTTTTATGATTGAATGTTTTCCATATATCTTTAATTTATGCTCCTTGCCTTGTAAGCCATTGTGCTGTTTTATGGCACAGTCCAATTGACCATTTTTATGCCCATTCCTATTTTTCTGGAACAGTTGTATTTTGTATTTAAATGTACTTTATAAAAGGTTTGACTTTACTGTGTGTGTTTTGTAAATGCAGGTCCCTGTTTATATTCTGACTGCCTTCTGTATGTTAGCATTAGTGGCTGACTTACTACACCCTTTTTCTGCTTTGATTCATCTCTATGTTCTTGTGCTCATTTTTATTTGTGGCCGATGCTGCTATTTCATTCAGCCTGTTTGAATTTTGTTCTCCCCGATGGGATGGTTATTGAGTTTTCTCGGTACTTGATTCATTTTCATGAACTTCTGGAAAACTGGAGATGTTTCTTTTCAAGTGTTCAGCTGTTGGACTTGGGTGGGTGGGACTTGTGTTGTACTTCAGTGGGTGGGTCTTGTCCAAGGTTGATTTTCACCCTGCACCTCATGAGTCTATCAACTGCAGGTGCAAATCAAAGTCACTTAAGCTACAATATATAGGGATGCCTCTTGCGCAGACACTTTTTTTTCTTAATTGTTTTATTTATATTGTACTAATTTTGTATTTATCTTAATTAAAAAGGACAGACAAACTATGGTCTCTCCTCTTGTTCCATTTGACTTTCTATTTTATGACCCTTTTGTCTGTCTTTGCATTTATTTTATATTTAGATCTTTATTTTAAAGCATTGTTTTTATTGTTAATAAATACCTTTTAACTTGTTTCTTACATTATCTGTTACCTTTTATGGCATTGTTTGCCCCTTCTTATATTGTAAAGCTTTGTATGAAAGTTGTAAACTTGTCTTGTATTTTGTTGCACTTTGTTTTATTTTCATCTTAGTTTTTAAACATTTTCAAAATTACTGTAAAGTACTTGTCAGGTTATAATCTTTTTTTATAACCCATTATCCTGTGTTGGCCGGTCCCTCCAGCTGTTTAAACAGTCCAGTCTGATGTCCTTCTCACTCAGCATGAGGCCTCTCATTGATGCTCCTCCCACCTCCTCTACCCATGCCATCTATTTAATGGGGCCTGTGTCTGCTGGCTCCTTGCAGCCTTTTGCCTCATCCTTCATTGCACCTTGGGTCAACCTTTGTATTCCAGATTACCATCTCTACCTAGGTGTTGATCCTCTGTCTTTGTGCCAAGCCCCGGACTTAACTTTCACTC